TTATGATGATGATGGTGATGATGATGGTGATGATGATGGTGATGACGATGATGATGGTCATGATGATGTTGATGATGATAATGATGACAGTGATGATGCTCGTGATGATGATGACTATGGCATCTCGGAAGAAATGTTACATATGAGATGATGGTAACAATGAACACCATGGAAACTGTGGTGCAACTTTGGTTCACATGAATTGATTATGATGACGATCATAACTATAGTAACTCCAAAAAACAAGCTAGCTACAGCCGGTACACAAGATGATTATGAAGACGATTATTAACGTGGACATTATACTAAAGAATGAAATGATAAGTTTACTGTAACGATGATCACAATGGAAATCTTGATTATCATATATTAGAGTCGCTCAGTGGCAACTTAGGCCTAGGGCAAACGTCGAACTTTCCATGCACCGAACTTAATTACATCAAAGAATGCCGCCTCATTATCACCTGATATCCATTGTTTTTAATGAGTTCGGTGCATGGAAAGTTCGACGTTTGCCCTAGGCCTTAGTTAAATTTGTATAATTTTGTTCAGGACAAAAAAGCCAGCGCGGGCGTCCTGTATTTTCATGCGATTCAGCTTTTCAAATGTCCTCAATTGCATTCTTATTTTCGGAAACATATCGTTTATTCTATTAAATAGTTGTCTTTCTTCCTTTCATTTTTAGTAGTTTTCGCGTTTATTAGTGTTTTGATGGGAAATAATGAACAAAGATTAAGGGGCGATTCCACGTGAAATTATCGCTTGTGTCCTTCATCTCAAATGTGTATGCGAATACGTGACTGACGCGTCTAACAGGTTTTTCCTGCCAAAATTTTCTCATCACGTGAAGCCTTATACTTCTCCTTTTTTGTATTCAAACCGAACCCTGAAACCAAGATTAATTCGTCAAAAAAATCCAGAGAAAAAATAAGTATTTAAAAAGTTTTCTTAGGGATTTTAGATTGGCCCCACTTGCCGTTATTCGTGCTAAACCGTGCTTTGGACCTGAAGTCGATATTTAAGTCTTATAGCGTTGACTTATGAGAAAGATAATGAAAGCTTAGCGGATAATTCTGGCTAAAATGAACTCGAAGAATCCCTTCTAGATAATGCTGTAAGAAATAAAATAGGTCTYTGTGGGAAGTGTTTGGAGTTTGCGTTGGATTCGGCGCATGTGGGGCTCGTTGTAAAGGCTGGGTCTAACTAGGAAAATAGATTTTAATGTATACATATTTTAACATCTTCATATGATAAAATAATTAAAATTATTTTACCACATATTTTTAGTGTTTAATTGTAATTTGTAAAGCGCCATTGGACAGAAATGGAAATGGCGCTATGTGAGAATAAAGTTATTATTATTATTATTATTATCGAGTTTGAGGGAAGAGAATATAGCCTAGCTGGTTTTCCTGAAGTACTTGGCTAACATCACGATCACCTTTTAGAACAAGAAATTATAAAGAAATATAACGAGGTTTAAACCTTGAAGCCGGGTCGCAACCTTGAAGCCGGGTCGCTAATTCCCGAAATTAAGGCCTTTTTGAAGTCAAGAGGGATTACTTGAACGCTCACGCAATAAGACTAGCACGAATTAGTTAATATATTTGGATAGAAAATTCATCTTTTTTTAATAAAAGATTCGAATTCAGAATGGATGATGGGCGAAAAATTTATAATTTACATGCAATGAAGTGGTAGCCCTATGATTATGTGAATATATATTGAAGTAGAAAATACAAAATACTGTATAACTGAGGAAAAGCGAGATTCAACTGATTGAGTATTTTGAATTTATTATGAATTTCTTAATAGGAAATTTTTTTTAACATCTTTAAACAAGTTTTTGATATGCTAGATTCGATATCCTGGGGTGACACAAAGAAGCGGAATTTAATGAATACGTAACAGAAACTGATGAGGAAACAACTCAACAGGATGCAATATGATGACGGTTGTAGGAAAATTACGCCGATATATTTGATTTCTATAGTTGTCGAAGGCTCGTGGACATACGTTATAGAGATTATAATTTATTGACTTATCGTTGGAAAAGAAAGAAAGAATGAGAGAAAGAACGAGGAATAATGTAAGTAAGCAAGTAAGCAAGAATGACAAAATGAAGGTTTTTAAAAAAAAGCAAGAGCCGAGTAGGAAGAAAGAAACGAAAGGACGAAGAAAAGTACATGAGAAAAAGAAAATGAAGAAAAGAGAAGAGAATGAYGGCAAGGAAATGCAAGAGGAAAAAAGGACGAAAGAATAAAAAAACGTACGCATAAGTATGTATTATGAGTAAAAATGAAGTCAATGCAAATGAATGACAACATGAGTAAAAATAGTCGAGATTTTTGAATTAAGTATAACTTAAAAGTCTATCAGATGTTACACCATCACTACATCCCTAATCAAAGAAATCTTCTGACTTTATAGCAAACACAAGTTCAGTAAAGTCTTACTTGTAACGTTGTTAGAAGAGGAATTCATCGAACTTTGCGGGTTACTGATGGAGCTTCGGTATTAATCTACATAGTAGATAGCCATTTTCTTGTTGCTTCAAAGATGGCCACCTACTCGACCAAGCTGAATTTTAGAACTTTAGATGTTTGCGATTTTCGACTTATCTGTGATCTCTTTTTTCCAAATTACGAAGAATACAGCAAGAAACGGGTCTTTACGTCAGAACTGAGCCCTGAATCTTGAGAATCGTGGTAGCTGTCTATATATTTATCCAATAGTAATAGGCATCAAAAACATTCAAATCCGTCCACGTTTCATGGAGTAATGTTTTTCATAATTTGTGCATTAAACAAACCATTTCAACTCTAAAATACGCGAATTCTCTTGTGATAAGAGAAAATAATAATCCTAAAGGACTGCTCACAACGAAGATGAATAACTGAACTATATATAAATATGCTCGGTTGCTAACACAGGCCCTCGAAACCTATTCTAAGGATAATTTTTGCGAAATTAATCCACTTGAATCGAAGGTAATTCTAATCGTTATCGGTTTATGGAATTTCCTAAATCCAAGGACTTATCTTAGGTTAGATATTTCTCTGCGGAAGGCTCCACTTAAGCTGTTACTCCTTGAACAAAACGCTTTGACCCTTCATTTTTACCTGAGTATTTTTATGCGTCGCAAAATTTTGTGAATTTAGTTTGTGTTACGATCTTTTGCAACTTGTTCTGTTTGGTGATAGAGGCGAATGGCGTGAGGATTTGTTAGCAAGAGAAGTGTRATGTTATGTAGGTGTATTTGGTAAAAGTGGTGGTCGGGACGTTTTATTTGAAAAGGACTTGATCAACTAAGAAGGTTTATTTGGCAATTGGCCATTTTGAAAAGAAGCAAGAGACCGGGGCAAAATTTGAATTTTCATCTAATTGGACATTTATGGCGTCATTTACTACCACTACCACTTGCGCACTTTCTTTTGTTCAAAATTAATTATTCTTACTATTCTCAAATTTAAATAAAAAAGGAAAATTCACCTTAACAAATAGACATCAGCTTTATGTGTCTGTCCTCTTATTGACGATAAATTGCATCACATTGTCAAAGTAGTGTGGATCCACGAGGCGTAGCCGAGACGTGATGTGATGACGAAATTTATTGTCAATAAGAGGACAGACACATAAAAAACTGATGTCTATTTGTTTTTTACAATAACAAAAACGATAAAAACTTCTCATTTTTAGCGATCAAAACAACCAACGGAAAGAGTGCGCCCTCGTTGACGTCAGCTTTATCTGTTTGTCCTCTCATTGATGATAAAAAATAACCAATCAGCGTGCAAGAAATTTGTAAGTTATTGTGAAAAAAGGATTTTATTAGTGGCAGTAAAATGGCACCATCATGTAAACGTCCTATTGGCAAAAAGTTTTTTTATGCAATGTACTCTTCTCAAAAGCATAGTATATCTAAAAAAAATATACGAAGCTTTCGCTGTTGTATCACAGCGTGGGACAATCACAACAGAGCTAGGCTCCAAACTAAGTGAAAGCCCAAAGATCGAATTAGAATTTAGAAGTTGATTTTTGAGGAGGGAGGAAAACCGGAGAACCCGGAGAAATAGACCCTCGAAGCACAAATCTACTCACATACGACATCGAGATCGCCAGGACTCGAACTCGGGCCGTATTGGTGAGAGGCGGCGCATTAGCAGCGAACGCCACCGGTGCTTCCCTTAGATGCTAGGCTAACTTGAAAATAGGAAAGAAATGAGACTTTTTCTCGATGTCATTTATGGCATTTCTTTTGTGTTTACAAGTTAGCCTCGCATTCAAAATAATTTTAAAAGAGTGCATTTTACTTAGCCATTTTTGACGCCCCATGATCAACCCTTTTTCCGAAAACCTTGATCCCCACGAATGTTTTTAATATCCGATTTTCACCCACAGATTTTCATCCTCCCTTCCACATCCTCCACACTTCTAGTTATGATCGGATCACCTTGACTAAGAATTAAGAGGCGCCATCAATTCTTCGACAAATGCATTCAAATTATCTTCGCGTTGGTAGAAGACACTAACAACTCATTTGACTTAAATGCTTTAAAATAATTGTTTTTCGTTTAGATTATTTAGAACCAAGAAAGATAAGTGAAAAACGCAAACTATATCACAATCGCCCGACTAGGCAAGTTCACCAGAGATTAATTAGGCTTATTTTAAATGTGTCAAGTCAATCTGAAATTAGATTTCTTTTTAGATATTCTATCGCCCTATTTACCTCATGAAAGATAAACTCATTATGTATTAACGCCCAGTAAGGATGGAATAGCAAAGTAGCAGAGCTTTGAATAGAATGATATAAATACGGTGTCTGATACTTGCTGGGTTCCACGGGGTATTCTTGCGATACAGTGTCACCCTCAGTGTCACCCCCTCTGTCCTGTTATTAAGCCTTTTGCAACAATGAATGAATGGATGGATGGATGGATGGATGGATGGATGGATGGATGGATGGA